AATTGCTTTTACGTATTTCCGGTATTACGTAAATACCGGCTACATAAAAACACGTCCCAATGTAAAATTTTCATTGTACCTGAAGAAGGCTGGTTCGGCCAGCCGAAATATAGTACACCGTCAAAAAATCATCCTACGTTGTGTCGGTTTTTGCTTTTGTATTCTTCAAAAACTAGAAATTATTGAAACAACCTACTTACAACGAATGCGCGCGCGTAAACAGCTGCAAATTTCCCATGACAATTTAATCCGTGCGATTTTGTTAAAGCGTAAAATTTAAAAATACGTAGCAAAATAATTGAAAACCATTATTGGCGTTAATTTCAGTTAGATTTCTACTCAAACAATTAAATTATTCGTTCTCGATTTCTATCAGGCGGCCTCATCAACTATCATCTCATAGAAATCTCGAGCTCATAATCTAATTGTCAAATAGAAACACAGTTTTTTGCTAGCGCTCAGTTAGCTGAAAAAATACAAAATTTGTTACATTTTGAACATTTAATTCCAGTTTTATTATTTTGAATCACAATAAATTTTATAAGCTACAATAGAATACAACAGAAGAAAGGAATAACAGACACATCAACGCAATTAAAATTACTAGTATTGTAACTAGACCGCACATATAAAAAGCATTACATTACTAATATAACAATAGATATTTTACCTTCAATATTTCAAATAAATATTTCTTGTTTCGTCAGCGTAAAATAATATAAATTCAGGATAAAAATCTTTCAATGCAAAATCAACTTGCATCTCTGCAGATAAAGTGAAGCGTGTTGTTTTAAGTACATCAGCAATATACGCTCACCTCTAAAGAAGTCTTGAAAACAACAAACAGTATTCTCAATTGTTTGTCTCTGAAATCAACACCTTATTATCTCCATATAACAGAAATTTGGCAACGCTAATTACCTCACCGGAAATTAGTTTGTTGTTCCTATTGTTTTTCAATTATACTCTGTTATTCCACTGACAAAACCATTATCGAGGACTATTACTAGTAGCCCTCTAGTAGCGTAGCCAATTAAAATGCAGGGTCATCATTCCACTAGTTGGCCGATACTAACTGGGATTATGCAACAATTGCATAATCCCACAAAAACAGTTAGAGGACTCATCTAATGCTAACAGAAGTCAGTTGGAAACTTACAGAAACGAAGAAGTTAGTGGATCAAAGGCGCCCGCCGTGATAGAGAACCAAGTCAGTTTCCAAAATGTTATCGTTTGATTACCGCAACTATTAAAGCTTTCAAGGACGTTCACGCAAATTGTTTCTGCGCATCCTTACTGCGCACTCAAATTCACACGCCACGTCATGCATCGATGCGCGCGCTAAGTAATAAAATGAACAATTATAGGGCAGATGGCCGTTAAGGTGGCTCCCTATAGTTTTAAGATCGCACGCGCGCTGAGGACGAAAGCTCAAGTAATCTGCGCGCGCTCGAAGAAAAACGTCAGTGTTTTTCGATATTTTATTACGTCAACATGAGCACAGCAAGCAAAACTGACAGTGAATTTTCTCGCGTTTCCTTCGGTGAAATTTCGTAGAACTTGGCAGGTTGGAAGTAAATATTTTACTTTAGTCGGAGCTCGTTTTTCAGGGAAATCTATAAGACCAGTTTTTTCGCAGCGGTAAAAGACGTAAATTTGTAAAATTCGAAAAACCTTCCTTTACAAACTCTACTTTTTTCGTGTTTAAAATTCGTGTCCCGCAGGAAGCGATATGCTGTGAAAATTTTGGAAGATTTCACCGAAGGAAATTCAAGAAAATCGCAAGTAAAGCTATTAAAAAAGTAAAAAAACATATTTGTTTGGGCATTTCTAATTCAAGACTAAAACCAATAATTTTAACAGAGATGATAGTAAAACACTATTTAAACATTGCCTATTACATGTAATTAGTTTGAGAGGACTGGGAGTAAATACGAATGCAAAAACGGCATTCAAAACATAACACTTGCGCGCGCAACGCCATAAATGATTACTCTCTGGAGCCACCTTAAATAGCTTTGCCTGGTTTTACCGGTCTTGGACGTTCGGTGACCCCTACTTTTCTTTTGATGGATTATTTTCTCTACCGATTTTCTACGTTCTGTGAAAAAATGAAAAAATCTATTGATTAGAAGTTTGAATTTTTTGCAAAATGCACCATCGAATTCCGTTATTTTTAGCTATTCATTTATCTGTGCGGCGGTTTCAAATGCCTCTTGAAGGGTTCAGTTTTGTGAAAACGTTGGCAAAATTTGGAATTATTTACTCAACAGACCTTCTTCTACAAAACATGACCAAGATCGGTTGCCTCCCTTGACTCACCTTCGATATGTTTAACTTTAAAGCCCTCTAGACCATACTGAATTACGTGCTCCAATTTTTCAAAATCAGGGTAGTTTTCCATACGCTTTATCTCTGAAAGAAGTCGGTGACTCCCATTTTTTTTGCATTTCTGACACAAGTAACTCATTATCTGACTGCAGTGACAATTTAGAAATCTATCGATTGGAAAATTTTCGTGCGAACGTCCTTAAATCCAGATGTGTAGAAGTAAACCAGTTGTAGTCACTCGTGAAAAAGGTTCAACGTTGTATTGTGCTATTGATGATGTTTAATTCTGTAAATTGCTACAACCAGGTAACCAGGTATCTGTTTTACAGTTTTAAGCACAGTTCCCTCTCATCAAGTGTTATTTGCGATCTGTTGAAGTTAATCTTATTTTTAAAAAATCACAGATTTTCGTAGCTTCGCAAATTATCTAAGGTACCGTTTATATTTTTTATCTGCACAACTTTACTCAGCATTTTAGAAATCACACGGGGGAAGAATAAACTTCCTTCCAATCCTTTGCAAAAATCACTGCTTGTTGTTTTATTAAAATCTCCCTTGACTGCTACAATCTCGAACGGGAAATTATTCAGCCGTGACCTAAGACCTTCTGAAATGTTCTAATTAAGAAACCTTGCAATAATGCTATTCAATTCTTTTGAGAAGTTTCTGGAAACTCCAGGTGTACTATCATGTCTAATATAAGAGCGCGAGTTTCGTCCGCAGGAGGGCTCTGAAAATGTAATGAAGCTTAGTGCTGCTGAGTGCTGTAATCCGAGAAGTTAATAAACCAGTTTGTTACTGTTACCGACGATCCTGAGTTCTGTATGGGAACAACCCTGCTCTGGGTTGAGACTCCCTTCGGCAGCATTTTGTACCATTTAGGTAAACTATATACTGATTCACAACTATCCTATTTTATGCACTTGGTGGGTCTGAATCGTGATGATTTGTCTGCATCACTTTTATCATCCATCATTACAGACTAACTCAAGCCTTTCTGTCATTTCTACAGAAAATCTCTTCGTTTTCATCAGTGGATTCTGACGATTGGCTTTTAGATTCATCATACAAGTTTACACACTTGTCGTGACAGTTACACTGAATCTCGGGTAAATAAGCACTGTCCCAGATTCCTGGACCGGACAATAGTCCACGCAATGAGCAAGGAATCCCAGGCAACTGGCGAAATTTTAACAACAACTGGCGTGCGGTGCGTAAAACTTTTGTCCCATCCATCTTCATTGACAGATCTGTAAAAAACTGCAACATGTCATCTGCTGACATATTCTGCTCGACAACAGCGCCTCCATATTCCTGAATCATTGCAACACACAAAAAGATATGGAAATACTCAGTTTCATATCGAGACCAACACGCTTCCCAAATTTTTAAAACTTCTTCATTGAAGAATTCTCGTTTGAAGGAGAGAAGAAGCCAACGATGACAAAACAGCATGTCCATGTTATCATCTTGTAACAAAAGATGAGCATAAAACGGTGCCTCCAGCATACGTAACAACTCACGGACGTAGGTCTAGAAGTAAAAAGGAAACACCTCAATTTCAGACATTTTACTTTCTTACTGCGCGTTTAATAACACGTAAATTCTGCTTGAACCACGGTTTTCATTTTCCGCTGCTGTTAAGTTTTAAACTTCTGAGTTTGCGTGTTATTCAAACGAGCAGTAACAAAGTGTGTTGTTTTCTTGTGGTGGGGGAGTGAGAAACTTGGGCGAGGGAACTAAAAGATGAGTTAAATCTGGGTACGCTGCGGTAAGTCGGAAGTTATCATAGAGGAACAAGTCCAAGATCATGAAACATTTGAAGATATATTATTAAGTGTGCACGGCCTCACATGGAATACTGGATCCAAACTCATTCTTAACCCACAAGTAGTGGTAAGCCTTCAAACGCCACATACAAGCAGATCTTTACGTAGGAGAAAATCTGTAAAACGGAGTACACAATCCAGGGCCACTTTTGAAGGTGCATACATTTAGAGGCTCGTTTGGCTCGGCAGTGGATAAAAGAACGAGGAATAATCTATATATGCGTTAAATCCTAGGTATATATATTTAGTGGCTCGTTTGGTTCGTTTGGCTCGACAGTGGATGACAAAGGACCAAACGAGCCAAAGGAGCCGGCTCGTTTGATGGATGATTGAAAGTGGCCCTGTATTCTGTAGTCTAGCCAACGGAGAATTAACTCTGAAGTAATTTCAAGTGTTAAGAAAACTGCGAACCACAAGAGCAAAAAGTTCGTGACCTTGGTGGAATCACTATGGGTCAGCCTCCTTGATCAGTCTGTCGACTGACCTAAGAGACTAGATGGGAGCAGGTCGTGAGTATTTTCGTGCGTTTTTTTCGGGTTTCAAAAATTGTTTCTTATAGCACACGAGGTCACCCGGATTATCTCTCCATCTCTCAGGGGATCTTTTTGTGAGATAAACTAACAATCGAGGGAAGATTTCGAGTCAAGATATCCAAGCAGAACTTCTTATGGTGTTTTTCGGGACGTTTTTAATAAAACAATTAATCCACTCGCGCTTGTTGGATATGAGATGATTATAGCCAACTTGGAGCTACACGCCTTGTTGGCTATCTACCATCTCACGTCCAAAGCGCGCTCGTGGAATAAGTGTTAATTAAAGTAGGTTGGTCATAGACCAGTACATAAACTAACCAGCTGCCTATCCATGACATCATCTTTAGGTGATGTGACAAACACACTCCCCTCCATTAAACCAACAAAGCACCAGAATGCATCAACTTCGTCTTGAACTATTGCCAGCACAGGTGCCAGAAGATCCGACATACCCTGGTTGTACCCAACCTCAGGATTGTATGTAGCATAATTCAGAAGGATATTCCTGTAAAAGAACGAACTTTGAGAAATTATACGAGAATACACTCCCCTCTCCTATCTACTACATAGGTGACAAATGTCAGGGACCAGTACTGCCTCTCTTCAAGCCTCCCATTGTGACCTGTCAACCTCCACCCACCCCCGAGAACAGAAGATCCGATTTGGAAGTTACTTAAAATTTAGAACTAATCCTGCTAAATGTAGTTAGACGATTTTTCCAGGGCCACTACAAAGTAAACAAAAAATCAGATCTCTGAGAATGTATACACACGTGGTTACATGACCAGAAAAGGGATATGGACCCCGTGATCTAGGAAAGATAAACCAAGACAAATAGAGGGTCTTAATTTTCTATTGCATGGACTGAAGTTGAATAAATTGTTTGTGACACTCATGGCTGGACAGCTAGAGAACTGGCATGTATGGAAGTACAAACTCCTACTTCAAATACAGTCGACGCACTTGAACAAGGCGACCAGCTCGGGTATTCAAATTAGTGAGACAATCTCAGATAGTGCAGAGTGCAACTGATAGCTCTGGCACCTAATCATAAGGAAGATGAATGGAAGAAAGTTATATATCTGATGAAGAAATGGAAGAGAAACGATTTTGTTTTACTCAAAACGCAAATTTTCTTTTTACTGATAAACAAAGAACTAATTTAATTATCAGATAGTCACGGAATACCACTTTTCTGTTGCCACCTTTGTGGATAACAATAAAACAATTCAAAATTAATACACAACGATATCGATTGATACAACTGAGAAGCGTTTCGACGAGAAGTATTGAAGGTAAACAGCACTACTTGGCCGATAGTATATCCTGCATAGGTTAACGAGTCTCCTCAAAGACTGATTAAATTAATTTGCGCTTTCGTTAGGCGCCACGGAGTCCGCGACAATATTTGAGTTTTACAATTTGAAGAGTATTGAGGTCGGCACACATGAGGCGACTAGTCCCTGCAACTATTCCACTGAAGAGTTTACACGAAGGGACTGGTCGCAGGGACTGCCCCACGAACAGTTCACACGAAGCGTTTTGAGGAACAAGTCGCAGGGACTTGTTCCAAAAATTAAAACCAGTTTGAATTCGTTCCCAGTTCCATCCACATTTAAACTCATACAGATTGTACCACATTTTGAAAAGGACATACCTGACAAATCAACATTTCATCTATTTCTACTTATCTATTTATTTTATCTCTTCAAGAGGGTATGGATATAGGAACTGCACAGTGCAATGTTTGTCCCAAAAAGTTCAATCACTGAAGAAGTCTGTCCATGCAAGATGAAAATATTAGAAAGTTTATTCGGTATCCCAAAATGCATAGTCAGCCTTCTTTAATATTTGAATATAAAAGTGCTCACTACTTAAGCACTTGTTCTTTACCTCATGATCTCAACATTTGGATTGCCATCACCAGCAAAGTAAGGATGTGACCTATCTGTGCGCACAACATCTTTGTCAACAGTACACTGAACAGCCCTCCAAAACTGTTGTTCTTCTTCTTGGCTTCTGTTTCGTCTAGATAGAAAATACAGTTATATTGTACGCATACATGCATGCATGTATGTAAAACTATGGATGTACTTTAATATCAATACCGGTACATGTAAATCATAAAAATCATGTAAATACCTCTTACTAACCTCGTCTTCTCGGTCCGTACTGTAAGTTACGGATTCTCGTTTTTTCCCCCTTCGATTTATGGCCCAAGCGCGAAGCGCGCGGGTCATAAATCGAAGGGAAAAAAACGANCAATATTGATGGATGCTTGTGAATTTATAATACACACATGTACACACGCATCGCCGATGAGAATGAAAATCGTGTACTGCACTAATCAATATGATACGATACAGATGTCTTAATACACAAAACAGTTTCGAATACCAACGAATGTGTAGCTTTGGTACTTCTAGTGCACTCGTGAGACAGTGGTAACTTACTTTTGAGCGGTACTGTAGTGGTAATCACAAAGATGCACTCTGTTTACTTTGTTTTTTAGGTTCATTACATTAGTGAAATAAAAATATTACTAATCGTGATGATTGAGAGCACTTGACTAAGAAACTTTTAAATTGATCTATTGAAACAAAGTTGTTGTCAGCATGGGTTGGGTCTACATTCAAGTAAAAAGAAATAAAAAAAGAGGAATATATATATATTTCAATTTCATTAGCTTTTAATCAAACAAATTCTACATGTACCTGGAGTAATGTATTTTCTGGTATTCCTTTTCTTTGTCCTTTCGCAGTAGTTCTCTTTGTTGACTTGTAGAACCAAACGGAAAGTAAAGTAACAAAAATTTCCAAGCTTCTCTCCTAACTTCGGGACTCAGACCACCAAAAAATGTTGCCTACAAACAACAAGCAATAACAAATTATTGTTTAATCTACTGTAAAATGCCCTGTTTATCCAATACATGTCACATTAAATTATTAATTTGTCTCTGACATTTACACTGCAGTGCTGTTTATATATAATTATACTAAGGAGTGTCAATGCAGAGCAGGGTTGTTCCCACACAGAACTCACGATCATCAGTAACAAACTGGTTTATTTAACTTCTCGGATTACAGCAATCGGCAGCACTAAGCTTCGTTACACTTTCAGAGCCCTCTTGCAGACGAAACTCACCCTCTTATATTAGACATGTTAGTACACCTGGAGTTTCCAGAAACTTCTCAAAAGAATTAATTGTAGCATTATTACAAGGTTTCTAAATTACAATATTACATAAGAAATAGAACATTCCAGAAGGTTCTAGGTCACACCTGATTGACCTCCAGTTCGAGAATGTAAAAGTTACGTGAGATTTTAATAAAAACATCAAGGCGTAATTTTTGCAAAGGATTGGAAGGAAGTATATTCTTCCCCATGTGGTTTCCAAAATGTTGAACTTGTGCAGATAAAAAACAAAATATGAATGGTACCTGCACTTAAATCTGTGATTTTTTAGATGACATTAACACTTGATGAGAGGGAACTCTGCTTCAAACTATAAAACAGATGCCTGGTTAAAAATCAAAATTTTGCTTGCTGTTGTGGCAATTTACACACACAAACATCATGAAGAGCACAATACCTTTTTCATAAGTGATTGCAGCTGGTTTACTTCTACACATCTGGTTTTAAGACGTTACGGTAATCAAACGATAAAAATTTTGAAAACTAAGTTGGTTCTCAGTATCATGGCAGGTGCCTTTGACCTACTCACTTCTGCATTTCTGTAATTTTACTTATGACTCTGAAAGCATCAGATGAGTCTTCTAACTGTTTTTCTGATTGCTTTGCCACAAGAGTGTTTTGACTGGATATTATGGACTGATAAGTTCCCGAGAGCTTTCACCCCTGCTCCCACTGATCGAAGAGAGCACATGGAAAACAGTGCATCTTAATTCTTCCATTCGCGTATAACAACAATTCCTTGCGTCTTTGGTCTTACTATTGACCACAATTCCTCACGTTGTGCATGAAAAGTGGTTGAATGCCCCTATAGAATGCTCAAAAATACTCAAGTTAAGAGACATTTTCGCATTTTATATGATCGTAAGTTTACGCTTTTTACACAACACAACACAACAACATCTACTTCGCCGAAAGAGAAAAAAACCTCTCTGACACATTGAAAGTTTGATTTAATTAAATTGCACTTTAACTTGGTGCCACGCAGTGTTCAAAGAAGATTTGAAAGTTTTCATACTTTTTACCTTTAAAAATATCGGACTGTAAAGCATGTCATAAAATGCCCATCAAATAAAAATAAACTGCTACTGCAGAGACATGAAAACCGTTCAGAAATGAAAGCTTTTTTTTTTTTTTTTAATATCCTGGGAACAAAAGCTGATAACTTGTCAGCTCTGATTAAATTTACTTCCATATAAAAAACAAAAGTGTTAAGTTACCATTTGTAACTAAAGATAGCAAATATCTCATGGGAAAGAGTGGTGACGATTCATCCACTCTAATTGAATTTACTCCCTTGTGAACAAGATCTGTTAGATCTTATAACCGCGCTTTAAAAATGAAACGGTTCGCTTAGCACTACCATCGGAACGTAGTGCACATTCCAAAGCAGTCATTGATGATTCTTTTCTTACTGTAGACATCACATCACTTGATCAACACAAACTGTATTATTGCACCAT